ATATATATTTACAAATATCAACACTCCCCCTCAAGCTTAAGCATATAAGTCAAATGCACCAAGTTTGTTACATATATAATTAGTTCTGGGGCTTCGTAGGAATTTTGTAAACACATCTGTCAATTGATCATTAGAGTTGACAAAGCTTATGACGATGTCGTCTGACTTGATCTTCTCTCTGACAAAGTGACAGTTTATCTCAATATGTTTGGTCCTCTCATGGAAGACTAGATTTGAAGCAATGTGCAAAACAATTTGATTATCACAAATAAGTGTTATTGGTTTTGCTTCTTCAATTTGAAGTTCCTTGAGCAACTGTTTTAACCAAATAAGTTCACATGTTGCCATTGCCATGGCCCTATACTCTTCCTCGGCGCTTGATCTTGCAACTACATTTTGTTTCTTATTTTTCGAGGATATAAGGTTTCCTCCAACAAGTACACAATACCCAGAGGTGGATCGTCTATCAATGGGTGACCCTGCCCAATCAGCATCGGAGTATCCAATTATCTGGTTATGTCCTTTATCCTCATACACAAGACCTTTTCTTGAAGCACATTTGATGTATCTCAGAATCCGGATAACAGCATCCATGTGTTCTTGACAAGGGGAATTTAAGAACTGACTTACCACATTGACTGCAAAAGAAATGTTCGGACGAGTGACTGTGAGATAATTCAACTTTCCAACCAATCTCCTATACCTTCCTGAGTCAGATAGAGGCTCCCCCTGATTGGGTAGTAGTTTAACACTTGGATCCATAGGAGTATCGGTTGGTTTAGCATTTAAAAAACTTGTTTCTTCCAAAATATCCATAACATATTTCCGCAGAGAAATCACCAAACCATCTTTAGATTGAGCTACTTTAATACCCAAGAAATAGCGGAGTTTACCAAGATCTTTTGTCTAAAATTGTTTCGAGAGATGTTGTTTCAACTGGAGTATTCCCTAGTGATCACCACTAGTTATGATAATATAATCTACACACACAATAAGATAAATACACCCTTGGGGTGAGTGACGATAAAAAACATAATGGTCAACTTCACTACGGATCATACCAAATTATTGTACTATAGTGTTAAATCTGCCAAACCAAGCTCTCGGAGATTGCTTAAGACCATAAAGAGACCTATGTAGCCTACAAACCATATTCGGTGACTCCCCCTGAGCAACAAATCTAGGTGGTTGCTCCATATATATTTCTTCTTCAAGATCACCATGTAAGAATGCATTTTTGATGTCAAGTTGATGAAGAGACCAATGTCGAATGGCTGCAATGGCTAGAAGAAGTCTAATAGATGTCATCTTGGCTACAGGAGAAAAGGTATCACTATAATCCAACCCAAAAATCTGAGTGTATCCTTTGACTAACAAGCGAGCTTTAAATTGATCAATCTTACCATCTGGACCAACCTTCACTGTATAAAGTCAACGATAGCCTACTAAAGATTTCTCATGAGATAGAGAAACCAGTTCCCAGGTACCACTGCTTTGAAGAGCACACATTTCATCAATCTTTGCTTGCCTCCGCTTAGGGTGAGGTAATGCTCCACTTGGAGTTTTAGGAATAGAAACAGAAGACAAAGAAGACAAACAAGTATACTGCAAAGGGGAAATACGGTGATAACATAAATCAATATAATGTGAAGAAGGATTTCGTGTTTGACGTATACCTTTTCGAAGGGAAATCAGAAGATCAGATTCAGGTTGCAGGATCGGATCCGGTGATGGTGAAAGCGTCGGAGGAGAGTCCGTAGTGACCTCAGGGACATGTACGACTTCAGGGACATATACGACTTCAGGGACAGGTACGACAGACGTTGGGTGACGATGCTGATATGTTTGAAGTGGGCGAGGAGTGGGGGGGTCAATCATAGGGGTATCTAGTAGGCCAGGTTCCCTAGAATGATGGGGGATAATGACATATGGGACTTCTAGAAGAGGTGTGAGAATACTTTCCTGTAGAGGTTTCGTAGTTACTTGGTTGGACTCGAAATATGGAACAGACTCGAAGAAGGTAACATCGGCCGATACGAGGTATCATTGTAGAGTATGTGAGTAGAAACGATAACCCTTTTGGGATCAATGATAGCCAAGAAAGACACACTTTAGTGATCGAGCTGATAGTTTATCAATACCAAGGGATAAATTATGTACAAAACACGTAGACCCGAAGACTCGAGGAGGAATTAGGTGGAGTGAAGAGTTTGGAAACAAGATTAAATGGGGGATTTTATTATTAAAGACAGATGAGGGCATGCGATTTATGAGGTAACATTCTGTGAGCACCGCATCTCCCCAAAACCGGAGAGGAACATTACCATGGAGAAGTAGGGTCCGAGTGGTTTCTGCGAGGTGCCGATTTTTGCGTTCAGCTACCCTGTTTTGTTAGGGTGTATGAGGGCAAGATGTTTGGTGCAAAATACCATTGGATGACATAAATATTTGAAATTGTTGGGGTAAATATTGACGTGCATTGTCACTTCTTAAGGTACGAATAGACAAACCAAATTGGATTCTTATTTCTCAATAAAATTGTTCAAAAATGGGAAACAATTCATATCTATTCTTCATTAAAAATAACCACGTGCAACGTAAAAAATCATCAATAAAGGTGACAAAATACCTAGACTCAAGAGTAGTGATAGTACGCGAGGGACCCTAAACATCGGTGTGGACTAAAGTAAAAGGGGACGAAGCTCGTTTGTTGACTCGATTGGGAAATTGACTACGAGTGTGTTTCCCTAACTGGCACGACTCACAATGTAAATTAGATACCTTCGATAAATTTGGCACCAACTTATGTAATTTGGAAAGACTGAGATGACCTAACTAAGCATGGATAGTGAGTGGAGAATCTTTGGTTGAGCATGTCTGAGATGACAATGAGAGGTAGTAAAGGCCTTGAGACTCATATCCGACGCCAATCGTCTTTCCCGAACTCCGATCCTGCAGGGTAACATTATTGTTAGTGAAGGTGATACTACAATCAAGAGAACGAGTTAAACGAATGGCTGAAAGTAAATTAAATGGACAATTCGGTACATAGAGGACAAAAGTAACAGATAGAGAAGGTAGAATTTGAACAGTACCAATCCCTTCAGATCGGGTTTGAGAGTCATCGGAGAAGTTAGAGTAGGTAAGAAACCAGAGGTAGAGAGGGAAATTATTACCAGTAACATGATCAGACGCACCAAAATCAAGGACCCAAGGTCGAAGAGGAGATAATTGAGAGAGGCAAACAGATGAATTACCAGTGTGTGCTATTGTAGCAGTAGAATCTGAGTTCTGATAATTCTGATACCACCTGAGAAAATCGTCGTAGTTTGGCGTAAAGTTCTGAGGAGTAGCCATGAGTATCTGAAGAAAGAAAATATCACGCGATCGATCGCCGGACGTGCTGTCACGTGCGATTCAGGTGGCGACGCTTAATGCCCACACGCGGAGACGGAGGTGGCGCGTGTGGAGGTTTCTACCGATGAAAAAGTTTGTCGGAAGGTCGCCGAGAATAGTAGCGACGACGGCGGCTATCCGATTATGACCGAAGAATGTTGAAAATTGATGGTGGGGTCGGCTTTTCGAAATGTCGCCGGAAGTTTTTCCAGAACAGCAACGGCGGCAGTGTGGTCACCGGAGAATTTTGAAAAATGAGGCAAACCGGAGTGACAACACGGTTTGCAAAAAAAAATTAAAATTTTTTTCACCGGAAGACAGTGGGTCAACCGGGGAAAACACGACGAAGAAATAATTGCCTCTTAGCAGGTTCTAGATACCACGTTAAGAAATGTGGTTGGGTCTAACTCAACTCTAAAACAGGTTGGTAGAGTAAAGATTACCCCACTTATAAACACATGTTCATGTCATATATTGTTCGATGTAGGACTCTTAACACACCCCCTCACGCTCAGGACTAGACAACTGAAGCGTGAAAATAAATGGTGGGTGACCCGATAGCGGAAACCATAGGAGGTGCCCCACCGGATCTTAAACGAAGCTCTTGATACCATGTTAAAATACAAGAGACCAAGAGACATTTGAATAAACCGTGTGTTTACAACTAGTTATATAATATAATCGATGTGAGATTATTCTATATACAAATATTTTTAATAATATATATATTAAAAAAAAAGAGAAAAAAAAAGGTAAGAGTGTCAACTAATAATGAAAACAATTTCACATAATAGAAATAGAAATAAATATTGACAAGAGAACAAAAAAAAAAAAAATAGAACAGCTAGACATTTGTGTGGAAAAAAGTTTCAGCGTTTTAGACAAAAATTGTGTAGACTTTGGACTATGAATAAGTCTTCTTTCCTGGATATTCATTCAAAGACCATTCAATTCAATTCAATAACAACCACTTTCATTGTTATTTTTATATATATTCTAATTATTTTTTATATCTCTCTTTCTGTTATTCTTCTCTCAATTTTCATGCCTTCACTTCCTCTTCTCCCCAAGGTATCTCTTCTCTCTTTCTCTCTCTATTAGTCAAGTCAATTTACCATACTTGCATTCAGTTTTTCAGTCTTGTTAACGGTTTTTAGGGGTTTAATTGTCAAATCAAATGTCTTCTACTATTGATTTTGTTTATCATAATTTAGGTTTTTATTTTAATGTGATTTATGTGTTTTTCTCATTTTGTTTGAAATTTAGTGTGATTTATGTGTTTAACTTATAGTTAGAAATTCCGTAGAACCTGACACCTCTGAAAAAATAAGTGTGTCCAGTGTCTTGTGTTAATGTCGGTGTGGTGTTCGGGGTGTCTGACTTCTTAGATTAGAAATCAAATGTACACTTAAAGGTCAGTTGTGTAGAAAATTTTGATGTGGATTTGATGAGTTTCTTTTATTCATATTGGATTTAGGTGCTTGAAATTGAAGTGTAACTGGTATGGAAGCATGAAGGAATTTCTGTGATTATCATACCGATTTATTGTTTCATGGGAGAAGAAGGGGTTTTATTTTCTAGACTAGTTGTGTCGCGACGAGGGGATGGTGCTCGATTCGTTGATTTCTGGTCCTGCTTCAGAAGCTATTTCTCAAATTATAGATACGGTTTCTGAGTTTGTGTATTCTGTTGACAATGTTCTTGTGAAGAAGGATAGTTTTAAGGAACTTGCAGATTACTTGCAGAGAATTGAACCTATTTTGAAGCAGTTAAGGAAGGGAAAGGTTAGTGATTCTGAGACATTCAACCATGCCATTGAGATTCTGAATCGCGAAATCAAAGATGCGAAGAAACTGGTTCAAGAATGTAGCAAGAAGAGCAAGGTGTATCTTCTGGTGAACTGTAGAACCGTTGTTAAGCGCTTAAAACATAATTCGGGTGAGATCAGTAGGGCACTTGGTCTTCTTCCTTTGGCTACGTCGGGTCTTTCGGCTGGAATAGTTGAAGAAATTGAGAAATTATGTGATAATATGCAGGAAGCTGAGTTTAAGGCAGCTGTATCGGAAGAGGAGATCTTAGAGAAAATCGAGGCAGGGATACAGGAAAAGAATTTCGACCGTTCCTATGCAAATAATTTGCTGCATCTCATTGCAGACGCTGTTGGGATTACAAAAGAGCGGTCGGAATTAAAAAAAGAGCTTGAAGAGTTTAAAAATGAAATTGAAAATGAGAAAGATCGTGCTGAAGCCATTCAAATGGATCAAATCATTGCTTTGTTGGAAAGGTCTGATGCAGCATCATCAACTCGGGAAAAGGAGCTCAAGTACTTTGCGAAACGTAATTCTTTGGGCACTCAACCGTTGGAGCCTTTAAATTCCTTTTATTGCCAGATTACAGGCGATGTTATGGTTGACCCCGTGGAAATTTCATCAGGGCAAACATTTGAGAGAAGTGCAATTGAGAAGTGGTTTGCGGAAGGACACAAAAAGTGTCCTCTGACTTTCATTACTTTAGACACATTGGTTTTGAGACCTAACAAAACCTTGAAACAATCGATAGAAGAATGGAAAGATAGAAATACAATGATTACAATTGCTTCACTGAAAGAGAAAATCCAGTCTGGAGATGAGGTTGGAGTATTAAGTTGTTTGCAAACTCTTCATGATTTGTGCGAACAGAAAGACCAGCACAGAGAATGGGTGGTACTGGAGAATTATATACCCGTTCTTATCCAAATTCTTGCTGAAAAAAACCGAGATAAAAGGAACCGTGTCCTTCGCATACTTTGCATGCTGGTGAAGGATAATGAAGATGCCAAGGTACTCAGTTAGTAGCCTTCAAGTGATCTTAACTTTTTTTTAATAATCCTTTAGTTCGACTTCCATAAATATGTGCAATTTCATAGAGATTGTCCCCTAACTAGGTTGATTTTTCAGGAAAGAATTGCAAATGTTGATGATGCAATTGAGTCTATTGTCCATTCTCTTGGGCGTCGTTTGGCGGAAGGGAAGTTGGCAGTGGAATTACTATTGGAACTATCCAAATATGATTTTTTAAGAGAATACATTGGAAAAGTTCAAGGTTGCATACTACTATTGGTGACTATGTCTAGCAGTGAGGACAATCAAGCGGCCAGAGATGCAACCGAGTTACTGGAGAAGCTTTCATACTCTGATCAGAATGTTATTCAGATGGCAAAGGCAAATTATTTCAAGCATTTATTGCAGCGTCTCTCCACAGGTTTATCTCGAACCTTCAAATTCGAGTCAGTGTATCCGGTGCTGCTTTTTTACTTTCAAAATGGTTACTATAACTAATGCACATGCCTGTTATAAAAAATCAGAGATGGTGTGAGGTACAGGCCATTATATAACCTTTTTTTTTATGCAGGAACAGATGATGTGAAGATGGTTATGGTCAAAATGTTAGCAGAAATGGAGTCAACAGACCACAATAAGGAGGTCTTGTTTGACAACGGTATTCTGGCTCCTCTTCTTCACTTAGTCTCACATAACGATGTTCAGATGAAATTAGTTGCTCTTAAAGCTCTTCAGAATCTATCCAGTTTAAAGAAAAATGGACTCGAAATGATTCGACAAGGTGCAGCACGCCTATTATTTGGCATTATTTTCCAGCACAGCCTTCCTTCCTCGATTTTGTGTGAACATGTAGCTCCCATAATTATGCACCTTGCTGAGTCTACCATCTCTCAGGATACACAGACACCGGTTTCATTGTTAGAATCCGATGAAGAAGTTTTTAACCTTTTCTCCCTAGTTAGCTACATTCAGCCTGATGTGCGGCAATATATTATCCAGACTTTTTATGCATTGTGTCAGTCGCCTTCAGCTTCATATATCAGGAACAAGCTAAAAGAGGTAAGCATCTAGCTTGAACTAAAAATACATATCACATATTTTACTAGCCAATATCTAAACTAGTCTAGTTATGTATTTGCAGTGTCCATCGGTTCTAGTATTGGTCAAGTTGTTTGAGAATGAAAGCCTAACTCTTCGAGCAAGTGCTGTGAAGCTGTTTTCTTGCCTGGTAGAAAGCGCTGATGAAGCCACCATACTGGAGCATGCGAATCAGAAGTGTATTGATACTTTACTCCAGATCCTGAAATCTCCATCTGATGAAGAGGAAATTGTTTCTGCTATGGGAATAATACGCTATCTTCCAAGAATTCAACAAATCACTCAGTGGCTTTTGGATGCCGGGGCGCTGCCAATCATTTGTAACTATATCCAACAAGGGAAGGACAAAGATCTCCTAAAGAGTAAGCTGGTAGAGAATTCTGTTGGTGCCTTATGTCGTTTTACAGTTTCAACAAACTTGGAATGGCAAAAGAGTGCAACCGAAATTGGGATTATAACTGTTTTAGTACAGTTGCTTGAAAGTGGATCTGCTCCAACAAAACAGCTAGCAGCACTGTCCCTAACTCAATTTTCTAAAAGCTCAAACGAACTAAGCATTCCAGTACCGAAGCGCAGGGGATTTTGGTGCTTCTCAGCTCAAGCAGAAGCGGTATGCTTAGTTCATGGCGGTGTATGCACTGTGGAGTCATCATTTTGCCTTTTGGAGGCTGATGCAGTGGAACCACTAGCAAAGACTCTTAGAGAATCTGATCCTGGAGTCTGTGAGACTTCTTTAGACGCTCTTCTAACTTTAATTGAAGGAGAAAAGCTACACAATGGTAGTAAAGTGCTCGCCGATAAACATGTCATACCGTTAATAATAAGATTTCTCGGTTCTCCTTCCCCCGGATTGCAAGAAAAGTCTCTGAATGCCTTGGAAAGAATTTTCCGGCTACATGAGTTCAAACAGAAATATGGAGCTTCAGCTCAAATGCCTCTGGTTGACTTAACTCAGCGGGGTAATGGTAGCGTTAAATCTTTGGCCGCTCGAATATTGGCACATTTGAATGTGCTACATGATCAATCTTCATATTTCTAAAGAATGTTGATTCAATTAAAAGGTACCGAGGAGCAAAGTTAAGTTAACTAACCATCAGGTTCAATCTTCTCGGGTACCTTTGACCATGGCATGTAAAAGACCGTCGCAAACTACAACTTCAGACAGGAAATCATACTTTGACAGAGAAAATTGCTTTCATCTGTGCAGCAACATGATGTTGTAGCTTTGCATTGAGCTATATCTCATTGAGAATCATATCATATAGATAGTATATTCTAAGTGTGTTCGTCCAAATTAGGCTATTGTTATATTAAGATAGAATCACCATTGGACATGTAGGGATTTACTTGGAGCTAGTATTATACGCCCCAAATATCTTTGTACATTTCAGGATTGTCTAGTTACTGGTGTAAAAAATAAATTCAATGATTGTATTTTTTGTTATGAGAATTGAGAACTCGTTTTGTTTTGTGATTCTTCTTATACCTTGAAAATTTTGTTTACTATTTTTGTTATTGTTCTAACTCCAATACTCCATAATAAGAAGGGACTAAAACATTTATATAACAAGAGTTTATGCTACAAAAGACATGCATCAACCAAGAAAACATAAACAAAGAATTTAAAGTTTAAATATTTATATAATTTCATGTAAAATTATAACAAACAGGTTTCGTGGTGTAGTTGGTTATCACGTCAGTCTAACACACTGAAGGTCTCCGGTTCGAGTCCGGGCGAAGCCATTTTTCATTTTCGTTTTTTTCTCAACTTTTCAACTTCCTTATATGGTAGTTATTTTGTCGGTCGGAAAAGTTTCTTTGGTCGTTGACTTTTCTTGATACAGACACTGTCATTAGATTCAGTTTCAACTTTCCACTGTAACTGTTATCGGAGATGGAGAGAAGAAGAAGAACAAAAGAGGATTTAGCATCCTTAATGCGCAAATCGTGGTACCATCTACGGTTATCTGTTCGGCATCCATCTAGGGTTCCGACTTGGGATGCAATCGTTCTCACCGCTGCAAGCCCAGAACAAGCCCATCTCTACGATTACCAGCTCAATCGGGCCAAGCGTGTGGGCCGGATCTCTTCTTCCACTCTCACTCTCGCCGTTCCTGATCCTCTCGGCTGCCGGATTGGTTCCGGTGCTGCTACTCTTAATGCTCTCCATGCTCTCGCTCTTCATTATGGCACTAGTGCAGATAATGTGCTTGATGAAAAGCATGTACTGTTGCTTCATGCTGGGGGTGATTCGAAAAGAGTTCCTTGGGCTAATCCTATGGGGAAAGTGTTTCTTCCTCTCCCTTTCTTGGCTTCTGATGAACCGGATGGGCCTGTTCCTCTTCTATTTGATCATATTCTTGCTATTGCTTCTTGTGCTAGACAAGCTTTTGGAGATCAAGGTTACTTATATATGCTTTTGTTATTCGATTTGTCTTTTTCTTGGATTTACTTATTTGAGCGGATCTAGTGGCATAATCACTTGTGAAACTGCTTAGAGAATTTATGAAGAAGACATATCTGTAAACAGCTCATGACATTCATAAGTCGTTTTTCATAAGCTTTGAAAAGCAGTCATTTCTAGAATTAGGGTGGTGTCCGACATGCGTTGGTGTCCAACAACACTCATAAGACATGACACTGGTGTGAAATGTCAAATGATAAGTGTCTCAAATATAATTGTTTTTTGACGCTCATTGGGTCGATTCGGTGTCTTTCACTCGTACACAATTGTCGTAAATCTTAGACAAATCCAAAACAATAAGTTTTTTTCTTTGTTTTGACATATCTTATACATTCTTTGAACAAGTCTCAGACACACATACAATGGTATAAATATGTGACGAAACAATGCTAATCATCAAAGAGTTAAAGAGAATTAAGTTTGATTACAAGTTACAACATCTGTCACTTTTTTTTAACGATGTCAGTCTTTTACATAAGTAGTGGCAACGTATCTGTGTCATGTCAAGTTTCCATGTCAGATTTTGTTGCATAGTTCATAAGCTCTTCAAGATTGATTTTGAAAATAACTTAGTTTATAGGAAAAATAATTTAACTCCATTTAATCTTTTTTATAAAAGAGCTTATACATAAGTGGTTATCATGCCATAAACGGTAATTTAAGTTGTTTAGTCAAACAGGGTATTCATATTTAATTTGTCTTGTCTTGTGTATAGGACAAAACGAAACATCAATTTAATGACAATGTCGTTGTTCAATTGATTCTTTGAACTTTTGTTACAGGTGGAATGCTGACTATGACCGGTGATGTTCTTCCTTGTTTTGATGCATCTGTTATGACTCTTCCAGAGGACACTTCTTGCATCATCACTGTTCCAATCACCCTTGATGTTGCTTCTAATCATGGAGTAATTGTTGCAGCTGAAACGGAAGTACAGTCTAATCAAAATTATGCACTTAGTTTAGTGGATAATTTATTACAGAAACCTACTGTAGACGAGCTTGTTCAAAGCAAGGCGGTCTTAGTTGATGGTAGAACATTACTTGATACCGGTATAATAGCTGTTAGAGGTAAGGCGTGGTCGGACCTTGTTACACTTGCTTGCTCCTCTCAGGAAATGATTTCAGACCTCATAAGAAGCAGAAACGAGGTATTGTATGATTCGTATGAACAATTGGTTTTGTATTTATAGCAAAGTTAATTTGTGTTTTACAAATTTGTGAGGTTGATGGTTGAATCGTATGTCCGACTAAATGGAACAATTTATCTGTATTGTTGTAGAATTTACAAATGTGCTGTTACCAAGAGACCTCTATTCACCCCTTTAATAAACAACTACATGTTGACCCGCCCGTTGCACGGAAATTTTTTAGAAAAAAGAAATGAAAATTGTCCTCTTGTAATCATATAATATTTCCTATCTCAGAAGTCTTAAACCTGAAATCTATTATTGCAGTAGTTTCAATTGAAAAATACCAATATCAATAATTCTAGCTTAAATACAAACTTGGTAAGAATATATTACTAGTAAAACAAAATATAAAAATAAGACAATTTTTTAGCGGTCCTGAACTTCATATAATCGGGATTTGTTAGAGCCATGGGCTTCAAGAATGCTGGTATGTATACCTGAATGGCCAATACAGAATATTAATGGGTCACTTGAACAAGTAGACCTGAATTTTGGAAGACGATTCTGTATATCTGTGAGAAACTAATTTGCGGTAAAGGAGTAGAAAAGGAGGAACAAAGGTCAAACAGAAAAAATGAGTAGGTTTTTTATTGAATTGACAAATGAGGAGAAAATACATGTCGTTAAAAGCTACAAGTTGGCATTGTTAAATACAAATAAAAGTATAATTGATCAAACACTAGTCATAAAATTACTCCCTCTGTCTCAGATTAAATGTAACATTTGAGTTGTACACGGTTTTTAAGAAAATGATTAATTCAGTTGATTTTAATGGTAAAACTAATATCATTTCCTAAAACACCTTTATTAATTGTAGTTAATGAAGTAGGTAAGTGGAGTGGAATTCAATAAATAAGAGTATATTTATGTAAAATAAAATATATATTGCATTGATATTTTAAAGTACAACTATTTTGAGAGAGAAAAGTGTAAATGTGACACTTTATAAGGCAAAAAGTACTAATACTACCAATAATAATAATAATACGAACATGAAGAGGCATCTGATATCCAAAGACAAACAACAAGTGTGGTTAAAATCATGGATGAATATATGGATCCAAATGTTATTCCTTATACAAACTCAAGATCCTCATATGTGGGAAATCAAATGCAAGAGTGGTTGGAAACTATGAATGAATCTTCTTGTCTGTCTTTAGTTTAGCCTCAACAGTTATGCTATGAAGAAATTAGGACGATTTTGGTTTTTGTATAAGTTATTGAAATAAAGGTGGCCTATATTGGATGAGCTTTTCAGGTGTGGTGGGTGGGTTTACTGAACAGACAACAATAAAATGGTTTTAACAGATAGTGAAATATTAATAATAGAATGGGGGACATAAAGGGCGAGAGTAGGCGGAACATTGAAATAGAAGATGAATATGAGCATGTGCAGCACAGAATAATGAGTAGCCATATCTTGGAAGGTGCCACTACATAAAATGTATGGCATGACAAAATTTAGATTAGATGGAATGTGAATAGACAGAGTGATACGCCACTCTGTTTTAATAAATTTAAATAAATATTTACCGTTTCGTGATAACATTGACTTAGTCATGTCCTACTGCAGCTACATGGGTTCAGCACCTTGTATGTGATAAAGACCTTATTAATATGAATGTATAATCTATTCAAATCACCTGTATGTGTACTACAATCATTATAATTGGGTCATGTATATATATTAATGAAGTCTGCACCTTTTTCTCTACTGAAGCATTTAATGCTATTTTGACTTGTAGAAAAATAAAGTTATTTTATCGTAATAATAAATGCTCCGGGTTGTCCAGATGAGCTTATATGAAGATTTGGTTGCTGCCTGGGTACCTGCAAAGCACGAGTGGTTGAGAAAGCGCCCTTTAGGTGAAGAACTAGTCAACAAATTGGGGAGTCGGAGGATGTTCAGCTACTGTGCCTGTATGTCAAGCCAATTGCAATATTTTATTATGTATCTATATCATTTCTCATATCTTTCTGTGCCAAAATTGACTCTTCCATATTTTTTTCATTTACAGATGATTTGTTGTTCTTGCATTTTGGGACCTCAAGTGAAGTTTTAGATCACCTCAGTGGTGTTGGTTCAGACCTGGTTGGTAGAAGGCATCTGTGTTCTATTCCCGCAACCACTGCATCTGATATTACAGCATCTGCTATTATTCTTTCCAGTAAAATTGCACCTGGCGTATCGGTTGGAGAAGATTCTCTCATATATGATTCATCTATTTCTGGTGGAATACATATTGGCTCATTGTGTATAGTGGTTGGAGCCAACATATCCCTAGATGACTATTCATGCGATGAGGATTCGATGAAGTTCATGCTTCCAGATCGCCATTGTCTTTGGGAGGTTCCCTTGGTTGGAAGGAGTGAGCGAGTCCTGGTATATTGTGGCCTTCATGATAACCCCAAAAGTTCACTTTCTGGAGATGGTACATTTTGTGGAAAACCCTGGAAGAAAGTTTTACATGATTTAGGTATTCAAGAAAGTGACTTATGGGGTTTTTCAGGCACTGGCGGAAAGTGTTTATGGAATTCAAAAATATTCCCCATACTTCCTTATGCTCAAATGCTTAAGGTTGCAATGTGGTCAATGGGCATAGTTAAACAAAAAACTGAAGACATGCTTTCTTTGTGGAAATCTGCTCAGCGCATCAGTCTGGAGGAATTGCATAGATCAATTGATTTCTCAACAATGTGCCTAGGTTCTAGTAATCATCAAGCTGATCTTGCAATAGGTATTGCTAAAGCTTGTGTTACCTATGGCATGCTGGGACGCAATTTGTCTCAACTATGTGCAGAAATTCTTCAAAAAGAGGGTTCTGGAGTTGAAATATGCAAGGATCTCCTAGCAATGTGTCCAAAAGTTCAGGAGCAAAACACTAATATACTTCCCAAGAGCCGAGCATACCAGGTGCAAGTCGATCTCCTTCGAGCTTGCAATGATGAAAAGACAGCATGTGAGTTGGAGCACAAAGTTTGGGATGCAGTGGCTGATGAAACTGCTTCTGCTGTAAAATATGGATTTAAAGGTGCATCCTTTCATTAACAATTTTGTTTCCTTATCCTTAATGCAGCTCACCTGCTTAAACTCTCTTGCTTTAATTTTCCTAGTTTGAGCAATTCTCTAGATACCTTCTTCTTAAGTGCCTAAAGACTTTTATAGAGAACTTTATATGCTTTTGTTTAAACTTTTTTGACTGACTTCTTGTCGTCTTGCTCAGCTACCTTGTATCAGCTCTTACTTTTTCATAAGGATTATGTTTTACAAGACTCTTTTAACTATAACTTTTTGTTGTTGACTATTGTCCCATCACCTATAACCTTTCCTCTTTGGTTCAATATCCTATATTTTTCTAGCGTCTTTTCTCTCTTGCAATCTTATTCCGCACTTCATTAGTACTACCCTGTATTTCCCAAAAACCCGCTTTTCGAAACCTTTCTCTCAAACAACCTCTGTTTTTTCACCCTTTATTTACCATCTTTATTTTCTAGGATTTTTAACTCGGTCATCTTATTTATTTTCATTTCAGTTTACACATCCATTACCTCTAGGCATGTTGAGTGGTTACTAGTTAGATTCTCCTGATATGACTATGTAATTCATGCAAAGTTTTCCATTCAAATTTCTTTTCTATAGCACATCGCCTACTCTTTTAGCATGCTTCTATATTTTTCTTAAAACAAGTGTTGGCTATGGTAAAGTAAAACCTACAATATAGCTCCTATACTACCACTCTTTTGGTGTCGCATGTCTCTTAATTGCATCAATTGTAGATATCGTATTCTCTATTCATATATTTAGACAAATAGACAACTGCATCTTAAGTCTTAATTCATGTTAAAAAAATAGAAAAAGGGATTTTCCAGAAGCTGAATTTACTTATCCTGCAGAACATTTGTCAGTGTCTCCCAGTAGCGTCTCCTGTGACGAATATCAGATTAACAGCCATCATAATGATCACATTCATCAGCCTTTCCATCCTAGAAAGGTTAAAGTAGAATTGCCCGTGCGAGTAGATTTTGTTGGGGGTTGGAGTGATACCCCTCCATGGAGCATCGAGCGTGCTGGATGTGTTCTAAATATGGCAATAAGCTTAGAAGGTTCTCTTCCACTTGGCACCATTATTGAGACCACTCAAACAACAGGAGTATTAATTAGTGATGACAATCACAAGCAGTTTTATATCGAGGATTATAAAACTATATGTGCACCATTTGATGTAGATGATCCGTTTAGGTTAGTAAAATGTGCATTACTTGTGACCGGCATTATTCATGATAATATTCTTGTTGATATCGGCATGCACATCAAGACATGGGCCAATGTTCCACGCGGTAGCGGATTGGGCACTTCTAGTATTTTAGCTGCTGCAGTGGTGAAAGGGCTTCTCCAGATAATTGATGGGGATGACAGCACTGAAAATGTTGCTAGACTTGTTTTGGTGTTGGAACAACTCATGGGTACAGGAGGTGGGTGGCAGGACCAAATTGGCGGTCTGTATCCAGGGATCAAATGTACTTCAAGCTTTCCCGGAATTCCATTGCGGCTTCAAGTTGTTCCCTTGTTGGCTTCACCTGAGTTGATTTCCGAGTTGCAGCAACGGCTTCTAGTGGTTTTCACCGGCCAAGTAAGTATATGTTTATTTACAAGAATATGCATCTTGCTTGCAGACAGACAGAACTCTACATTGAAAATTTTTCTATAACATATAATTAACAGCAAATATCTTTTGTATTGATTTGTAGGTTCGAATTGCAAAGAAGGTCCTGCAGAAGGTGGTAATTAGATATCTTCGTCGTGATAACCTTCTTGTATCCAGTATCAAGCGCCTAGTAGAGCTCGCGAGGATTGGGAGAGAAGCTTTGATGAACTGCGACATTGATGAACTCGGCGAAATAATGTTGGAAGCTTGGAGATTGCATCAGGAGCTTGATCCTTACTGCAGCAATGATTTCGTCGACAAGTTATTTTCTTTTGCTAGTCCTTACTGTTGTGGTTACAAGCTTGTTGGCGCCGGTGGTGGGGGCTTCGCACTCTTAATCGCGAAAGATATACAGCGTGCCAAGGATCTCAGGAAGAGGCTAGAAGAAGAGAAAGATTTTGAAGTGAAAATCTATGATTGGCAAATATCTCTATAGTATGATTGGAAAATAGTTGTATTGCTGTCATAATTTATTGTTATTCTTTATTTGTATATTCTTCACTGTTTTACTATTATTAATATGATAGAGTAGATGTAATAAAGAGAGATCTTCCTCATTTTATAAGGTTGTTTTGTAAAGATGAGTTCGACAATTGATTTATATTTGTCAATTTCAATAGATTTAGACCATTTGGCATTAGCATAGTAGAATGATTGAGATACAATGTATTTTTTTAATCATGGGATAAAGACATGGAAGCTTTTCATGCTATTTCTGATTGGGATATAGATTCTGATTGGAGTTGTGTGAAGGATAAGAGTGGTTGTTATTTTACTTTTCATTAATGATTAATTAAATGTAGTGCTGTTTTACTTTTCATCTTAGCAAGTACTTTAACAATCTTATACCATTGTTTCTTTACAAAAGTATAACTTGAAGAAGAAAGGTGCAATAGTGGACCAAAAAAGTGAGAAAGGGTATCACTTGTCAATGAAGCAAAGAATCCAAAGCTCCACGGGCCATGACTCCCTTTGCCGCAGGAAAGTACTTGGAAAGCTCCATAGCAGGAGTAAACTGATTTTCAGCCAATTAATAAAAGGAATACTCTTTCCACCCTATGGGTGGGTCTCACACATTTAAAAATTTAAAAATACCACTCTAATTGTAGATGCATTTCTGGACGACTTAAAATTGCACAAACCTTCGTAATTTATGATGGTCACTTCATTTTAAATAAATTTTTGTTTGAAGATATATCTTTGAATATTCTTTAGGGTGTATTTGTAGATGCATCTTCAAAATACTTCTTGTACTTATCTATGGTGTTTTTATTCATTGTGTTGGTTGAATTAACAACTCAGTGATATTCTCAGAGATGTATATTTGAAAATGTCAAGCGGAAAATATGATAAAACACCATTTTGCATGATCTTCTTCATGATAAAAGTTTACTCTCATTAAAAAAAAATGATTTCATTGTCAATCAATTTTTCAACACCGAAATATCATTCTTGTTTTTCATCACACCAAATGGAGCCAAATGAACTAAAATTTAAGGTAAAGTTCATTCATTTCATTCCCCATTCCTTGCATTAATGTGTTTTGTGAACTGAAAATATGAATGTTGAGTCCATAGATGCATATCCAAACAAAGTTTGGTGTAGTTCAGATATGCATATCTAAACAAAGTTTGGTGTTGTCCGGATATGCATCTCTGGATAAGTCTGATACTTTGAATTTTAAATATTTTTTTTTTGTTATTTGAGGTATTAGGTATGATGCACCCGAATATGTTTCTCAAAGCTATTGTGAGGATGAATATTAAATCGGACGAAGTGAAGAATAATGTTAAACTGGAAGAAGCGAATGGTTATGTTAAACCGGATGCTAGACCGGTTGCTGTCGAGGTAGATGTGCACGAATAATTTACGAATAAACAAGAGTTTATTGTTCGTGAACATATGCTACAACGAGTTCACATGGAGATCGAGAAATTGAGGTTTGGTGTTGTAATTAGAAGGTCTTACAATGGTTCAAATAAAAGATAAACATTTGTAACAATGAGATGCGGAAGAAGTGACGCGTACCAACCACAGATTAAGAAGTTGAAACGAAATGACACTAAATTGAAAAAACGTAAGTGTCCATTTAAATTGTGCGGATACCACAAGGCGGATGACACATGATGTTGTTAATCGGATACCTTCAAATTAAGTATAAACAGTTTCTTAATGATCAAGAAACACACCAGGATTAGGGTTAACAAAGAATACAAGGTAAAATAACAAGGAACAACAAGGATTGATTATTAAACTGCTATTCTTTCCTTTCTCTTTGAACACGATTACAAGTATACAAGAATAACAAAATAACCTCTCTCTCTTGAAATTAGGATTTTATCTTCCTATTTTTCCTTATATTAAAATTGAGAAACTAGCATCCTATTTATAATAAAACAACACACTAACCTAATGGACTTTTTAACAATTATCCATTACAAGCTAACTTAGGGTACAAGCTAACTTAAAAAATTGGGCTTACAAGCAAGGCCCAATTCAACATACTAACTGAAGGTGAGAAAATACTTAGAAGGGGGGGGGGGGGGGAGTTGAATAAGTATATAAAAAAACTTATAGCAATAAAAACTCAAAGATTTTTATCCTGGTTCGTTGAACTCAACTACTCCATCCCACCCTATCAAGAGTGATTTGTCTTTCTCAACAAGGACTTAATCCACTATTAATCAATTGATTACAATAGCAAGCACTAAGAGCAACTGTTCTTAGTCTTCTCAAGAACTACTGATCCCAACTGGATCTTCTTAAGGATCTTTTGCAATCAAATGTAAGAATAAAACAAGTGTTTAAATGCTTCTAATTAAGCTATATCACAACTGTGATTTTACACTTAAGATTTAAGAACTTAAAAATAAATTCAGCAAGAGAATGATTTGTATGAGAGCATGTAATGAAATTCTTTTAATTAATTTGTCAACTGAAGAAGAGTGATGGAGTCTTGCTTTTATAGGCACAGAGGTCCACGTAGTTTTCACGTTGAAGGTTGTGCACTGAAAAGGGCTGAGCCTTTTTGTCTTCACATTACATGACCTTTCCTAGAAATAGAATGCACAGAGAAATCCTTTTTGTCTGTGTTCTTGTGTCTAGGATAAATGAGGAAAGAGTCGTTTGGCCAAACCAACGGACATAACTTTGAATTCTTCTTCAACAAGTTTCAGCAAATAACATCAGAGCCTTGAATGATCAGAGCCTTTGATGTTCATCAGAGTTTGCTGAATCAGAGCAATTCAGCAAGTGTGCTTTCAGCGTGTAATAACATTAGAGCAGAGTTTTAGGAATTAGATCCTCAGTACTGGCAGCGTAGTACTATCAGAGTCTTCTAAAATAAACTAAGCTTGAAACTCTTCATACAAAAGTCTTCAATGCTTCAGATGCTTATGGCTTCTGCTTCAGATTCTTTTGTAGCTTCTGCTTCAGATCCTTCTGTAGACAGCGCTCAGAACCTTCTGTAGGCAGCGTTCAGATTCTTCTAACAGATGCTTCTGATGCTTCAGAGCCTTGCATATTTTCATGTTCAGATCTAATTTGCTCCCAGAATAAATATTCACTTTAATATCTGCAGCAAACATACTTATTCAAATTTTAGAGTATATAATTCTTTAATACAAAATTTCATAAGAGTTATCATCAAAACATAGAGATATAATTAAGAACCAATCTGTGTTCTAACACTAACAACCCTAGCAATATTGACTAATGCATGTTAGAACAGACTTCGACTACAACATGCATTACACGCGAACAGACTTCGACCATACTAGAGTTCGATCCAACATCTCACAAATCTCCACCTTGGATCTAACTCTATAACATCAAGAAACTAGCTTTCTTCATGCAGCTTTATTAACTGCATACAGTGGAAAAACTTGCAACTGGACAACGTCTTAGTGATCATATCAGCAGCATTATGATATGTCGAAACCTTCAGCCCTTGAACTTCTCCATGCTCGATTACCCATTTGATGAAATGCAGCCTCGCATCAATGTGCTTGGTTCGCTCATGATAGGCTGAATTCTTCGACAGGTGTATTGCACTTTGACTATCACATTTAACAGTGATAACTCGACCTTGAAGTTTTAGCTCCTTTGCAAAACCTTCAAGCCACAATGCTTCCTTCACAGCTTCAGTTAGGGCAATATACTCCGCTTCAGTGGTTGATAAGGCAACGACCTTCTGAAGTGTTTCTTTCCAACTGATTGTTGTCCCAAACATAGTGAACACATATCCATAGATAGATTTTCTTGAATCCATACAACCTGCATAATCAGAGTTGACATATCTTTCGATTGCTGCTTTACTATCTTCACCCAAGGCTCCACCATAAATTAGGACTCTATTCAGAGACCCATTTATGTATCTTAAAATCCACTTTAATGCTTTCCAGTGAGCCTTTCCAGGATTTGCCATGTACCTGCTTACAAGACTTACTGCGTATGTTATATCGGGTCTAGTACAGACCATAACATACATCAAAGAACCTACTATGTTAGCATATGGAATGCTATTCATATAAGTTCTTTCAACATCAGTGTTGGGACACTGATCTATACTCAGCTTAAATTGAGGGTTTGTCGGAGTCACAACAGGCTTTGAATTCTACATACCAAACTTTTTGAGAATCTTCTGTAGGTATGCCTATTGAGATAAGCATAATTTCGACTGCTTTCTATCTTTCCGGATGTCAATCCCAAGAATCCTGGACGCAACTCCCAGATCCTTCATGTCAAACTCTTTATTAAGTTCAGCCTTCACCCTCATTACCTCTCCGACATTGTTGCTTGCTATTAGAATATCATCCACATAGAGCAACAAAATAACAAATGAATTACCCGGTTGAAATCTGAAGTAAACACAGTGGTCGAACTGGCTTCTGATGAAACTTATATGTGCCATGAACTTGTCGAATCTCCTATTCCACTGTCGAGGAGATTGTTTCAGTCCATATAAAGATCTATTCAGCTTGCACACATAATCTTCCTTCCCCCTTTCGACATACCCTTCAGGTTGCCTCATCAGGATTGTTTCTTCTAGATCACCATACAAGAACATAGTCTTCACACCCATCTGTTCCAGTTCAAGGTCGAAATGGGCCACCATGGCAAGCAACATTTGAATGGATCTATGCTTCACAACAGGAGAGAACACATCATTAAAGTCGATACCTTCTTTCTGAATGAAACCCCTAGCAACCAATCTTGCCTTGTATCTCTTCGACCTCACTCCTTCGATTCCTTCCTTAACTTTGAAAATCCATTTACAACTGACTAACCTGGCTCCAGTAGGTTTCTTGATCAGTTCTCAGGTGTTGTTATCATGAAGAGATTTCATCTCACCATCCATGTCCTTCAGCCATTCAGTCGTTTTTCGACTCCTCATAACTTCCTTATAGTCTTTGGGTTCTTCGTCTAGAACCTCAC